TGGAAACTCCTCCTTCCACTTGTAGATCACTAACGCAGATAACCTGGCTTGACAGTACCCCCGGAGATTTCAACAGACCCACATCAACTATGCTGATGACAGCTTCATCTGAAACTGCACAGGGCTTTCCAAAGCGAACCTGAGCACTGACTTGGTGTATCGGAGACTGCAGCACCTAAAACCGACACTTCTCCTGGTCCTGATATGGTTCATTCTGCTATACTGAGGGAAGCAGCTTCAATCCTGACGACAATGCTTAGCGTGATATTCTCACACTTGCTGAGCCGAAACACACTACCGGAAACTTGAAAGCTGACTCACATCACATCGATTTTCAGAGGAGGTCGACGCAGCGAACCTTGAAGCTACCAACTTGTGTCTCTCCTCTCGCTATACCTCCAAAAATTACGACGTCCCTGTTATACGACGTCATACATAACTATTTATTATCCTTGATCTTCTTTTCACCCGACATCATGGTTTCAGGAAGGGTCATTCTTGTATAACCGACTTGTTGACTGCGATGTACAGATGGACAACCATCCTCGACTGCAAGGAGAAGGTTGCCGTCATCTACCTTGACTTCTCAAGAGCCTTTGATAGGGTCAACCACATATGTCTTATCAATAAACTCAAATAATTGGGTATCAAATCACCTCTAATTGATTGGCTCACTTCACGTTTAAAAGGTCGACCTTTTGAGGTCAAGGTTAACTCCAATTTCTCTCATGCTATGGAATGACTTAGTGGGGTCCCCCAGGGTTCAGTATTAGGATATCTTCATTTCTTTATTCGTATAAACGACTTTCCACAACAGGTATTGTCTGAATCATTACTTTTTGCTGATGATGTGAATCTGCGTCGACCCTCTCTCAAAATTGGCGTGATGTGAGTCAGCTTTCAAGTTTCCGGTAGTGTGTTTCGGCTCAGCAAGTGTGAGAATATCACGCTAAGCATTGTCGTCAGGATTGAAGCTGCTTCCCTCAGTATAGCAGAATGAACCATATCAGGACCAGGAGAAGTGTCGGTTTTAGGTGCTGCAGTCTCCGATACACCAAGTCAGTGCTCAGGTTCGCTTTGGAAAGCCCTGTGCAGTTTCAGATGAAGCCGTCATCAGCATAGTTGATGTGGGTCTGTTGAAATGTCCGAGAGTATTGTTCAGCCAAAAGTTTAGCGGTGTCACCGCCGTTGTTGTGTTGGACATGAAGACCGAGCAGTTGCGAAACCCCCGTTTTGACATGTCCAAGTTAGGCTGCATAACGGAATAAGCTTTTCGGATTTAGGACAAATTTATCCATAAGCCTTATCTGGTACTGAAGTCTTTTCTCTTATAGCCTAACTGCATATGTTCCTTATATTTTTGTATTGCCTGGACGCATCGTTGTTACCAGTTTGCTTGTATTCCGCCTGACAATGTTTCTTGCGGCTTAGCAGGCAAAGAGTGTGGTTATTGATGACTGTATGTTGCTTGTAGATGTTAGGGATCATTAGAGGAACAGACTGGTTTATAGCTCATATGATCGTGGACAGTAGGAAATCCCAATTAGCATCCACTTCAGGTTGACTGTGAATTTCCCAATCCACCTGTTGTAGATTGTCCTGTAAAGTTGACTTATTCAGCCGATTGAAATTCCAACGCCTGTTGTTGGCTGGATCTCTTAGCTCAGTTTCGCTGATAAAACAGAAGGCTATGACGGCGTGATCGATCCTCCTCAGAGGAGTCAGGATTGAGAGGTTTTCAATTAGGAATTCTTCGTTTGCAAATACCCAGTCTACGTGTGATGGTGTCTGGCTGTTTCTCCAACGAGTTGCCAACTTCACATTTTCGAATGATCCCAGATCCTCAATGAGGTTGAGGAACTGGGCTTCAGTATGGTTTTCACCTTCAATATACGTATGTTCCGCGAAATTGACTTCAAGTAGATTAAAGTCCCCTTGGATCAGGATATGAGTGAATCTGAGACAAATAGAGCGGGATAATTCTTCTGGCATACGATTGTCATACGCGATGTCAGCAGTCGGATTCATGTAGATGACTCCAACTAGACACCTCGAGGTGGTAAACAATCTTGCTGAGCACCTTACGGATTCATGAACATTGATAAACTCTTGGTTGTGCTTATGTACCTCCAGGCAGGATCGTAAGTATAAAGCTGCTCCGTTCTCAATTCCTGTTTTTCTGTTACTGCGAAACAAAAGCATCCCGTGTATTGCTAGCTCTCGTTCAGTGAACTGGGAAGATATCCAAGTTTCAGATATTCCTATTAAATGAGCATTACCAGCATTGATGATTTCACGTAGCTAATCCATTTTATTCGGTAAACTCGCGGCGTTCGTGTATGAGCAGTTTATGCCTTCAATTTACAACTCATGAGCTTCCCCGTCCAGTTTGTCTGTTTAAGTCTTACGTGAATGGACAAGTGGCCCATCAACATAAGGTTTGCCGAGTTGGCAGGCCCCGTCCCTTAAACGTCTTTTATGATCAGGGCAGTCCACAAGTGGAATAGACAGCTCCGACTTGCCTTTGTGCTTGATCCTGGCGTCATCTTGCCTATGCGGATTCATATGGATTCCAGTTAGCAACGGAAGTCTGTTGGCACGAAATGCTTCCAAATTTGCAGCCACCATATGGGAGGATGAGAAAGTTATCTTTATTATCCGGAGTCTAGAATCTCCGTCCTTCTGGGCTAGTCTCATCAATTGTTGAGTCAATATATTTTTGAGCTTCGAGGATCGCTTGATGAGTTTCCATTCCCTAATATCAGAGATTGTGTGATCAGGGTCCGTGTTTCTCGATACACCTTGAACAATGAAATTTCTTCCCCAGAAAAACTCGAGATTTCCTAGAGATGTTCCGCCTTAGATTGCGCTCAGAATACGGTATGTCAGGCAGTATTCTTACATTCCCATCTGATTTCAGTAAGTGGTTAGATAGTAGGATACCCTCTACGTCGTTAGCGTTCTTAAGTGTTACACAAAGTAGCCTTGGTTGATTTTGATGCTTAGAGTCCTTTCCTTGAGTGATCCATGTGACCCTCAAAGACTCTCTTCGGGAAAGCTCAAGCTTCTTGTTCAACTTTTTCCTAAGCATCCTGTCATTTTTGTCCTGCAAACTGAGGGGAAGGTCAGAGTTATTTTTGATGCTCACGAATATGAGAGAATTATCGCGAACCGTGATTGTTTTCCCAGGTTTTCAGGTATGTTCCAGCTGCGCACCTTGTCTGTTTGGTGATTGAAAAGCGTTTCCGATTCCTTGGTTCTTTAATGATCGGACGGACATACTTGAGGGCAGACTGTGAGGCCAAATCACCAGTTTATTTCCCTGCAATACTTGGGATGTTCAGCTTTTTAGACGGTGACGTCAGGTCCTTTATAACTTTGTTAACGGGGCTTCAATCACCTACAGAGTTTTTGGGAACCACCACTGCGTTCAGGGATCCTGTGCTGAAAGACCCAAGTCTACTGAGGGAGTCTTTTGTCGTCAATCTTATGATGGTGCTGAGTTTCAGCATGTCATCACTGTTGTTATTACATGCTCAGTCGACAGTAGCGCTATCGACATCCTTCTTCTTGTTTTCATCGCGTGTCGTCGTTTGTTCACTCACTTTATGACTGTCTTTTTTCACGTTTGCTGACAACTTATTCCACGGACCTGTCAATAGGACAATGGGGTTACTCAGCCAAAATTCATCATCCGTGTTGCACATGAAACATACCCACTTATGATCCGACTTATTGAGTCTGTCATAAGCAGTTATTTTGACATCTGTGCGCACTTCATGTAACCAGCCAGATGTAACAGCAAAGCAGCATCCGTGTTGTTTGAATAAAATTTTCATGACTATAGTGACGTAAATTGTTTTATAGATCCTAGCGAAAGCCTAAGACTGTAGGAAACAATACACTAAAAATGGGTTGTACAAAAGGTTAGGATAAACTGAAACTAGCCTTGATGTGATGAAGAACTGAAAAACCGAAATAAACTGAGGTAAAACTACAGTTAACTATTACGTTGGGTGAAACTCAAAAAGAAAAGTAATCTACCGAACGTATATCTCAGAACAGATTCTATAGATCAGGAATGGTACTTCTGCGTTAGAACACGGCGGAAGTTCAAGAAACGCAAATCACGTTCGTAAAGCGCGCGCGTAAAATCGGCTCCGCAGTCATATTAAGAGACCAGTAGAATCCTTTGGAACTACTCTTCAGTTACGTGAATAAACTTTACACATCGTCGGTAGTCTTAAGGAGCAGCAAATTTAACCGCCACTGATCAATTGTAAAGTTTGTTTACTGTGGCAGAATAATAAACTTTGGAACGCCCCCCTCATATTCCAATACTACCGGTCATGATCAAGTGTATTCTTTCGATGCACAAGTAGAAGAGTTAGTAGACAAACTTTTATAATCTCTAGTAAGAGAAAATAGGGGGTTTTTACCTTACGTTATTTGTTGTAAGGAAATGTACCATAGTATTTTTTGTGTAGTTAGGGTAGTGAGTGCGCCTGCATGAAATAAACATAGTCAGTACAAACTGAGGAGTGTGATTTACCACTTTAAAAAAGTTTTATTTACGATGACCCATGGCATTGGTATGAGTGATTTGTGTATCTATCCTGTCCCTCCAACCAGAACTGTAAACAGAACTTGAAATCCACAAGAAGCGGTCACTGATACTCGGAGTTTAAGTAATTCCTCTTCACATAATGATCCCAACCGAATCAGAAGTAGAGAATGGTGTGATAGTGCAGTATGGTTAAATTACAGGTCAGGGTATTGCAATGTATAAAATCTGAGCCAAATAGCTGTTGTAGATGTGAACACTACAATCTATCTATAAGTGACAGAGTTAGGATGCTCGACTGAATGTCTTTAGCTAGTGCTGTCAAGCAAAAATAAAAGCGTTAGCATCAATGTCAAAAATCTACAGAGCTATTTATCTCGAGGATTTACGTACTGCTACACACATAAAACAGTAAAACTAATTGAAATTCATAATGCCGGGTGATTCATTTTGCTCACCGAGTTGTAAAGTAACCGGATTTAGGAATGGAAAAACAATATCAAAAATCTTGAAATTTCTGAGATATTTTCTAGCCTCTTCTGTCTTGTAGAGGATCTTAGTGCTGACCTTAAGGGAGGATATTTTGGTCAGGAGCGTTACAACGTGGTTGGTTGAAATGTCTTGGTTGTTTGGCTTTGGCAAACAAACATCAAAAGACTTCGACATTCCTGGTGACGTCCCACCACCACCAAGCCCACCTGCAAGTTTACAGGATAAGAAGCAGTCTAAAGATACGGCTTCTGCTTACCGATTTGATTCAGCTGCACTTGAAAGAGCTGCAAAGGCAGCTAGAGAACTTGAATCATCTAGTATGTATTAAATGTTCGATTCATAGTGTTTCAGAACATGCGAAGGAAGCATTTGATCTATCTCAAAAACATGAACAAACTTTACAAATGGAATATCAATCAAAAATGAAGGTATAAATATATACGTTTTCAAGAAATGTGTCATTCACATTGTTTACCTAGGAGTACGAGCTTGGATTAGAACAGATTAAAATACAGCAATATAGAGCTCAGCAGGAAGAACGCAGGAAAACGCTAGAGGAGGAGGCGAGAATACAAAAGCAGCGCGCCGATTATCAAGATATGCTGGCTCGTAAACGTCAGGAAGATCAAATAGCCTTACAGGTTCTTTTTTAAATAGTTTTACTAAAAGGTAGGCCAAAGCTCAGGCAGACAATCTAAAAAAACAGGAGGAATCCGTTCAGAAACAAGAAGCAATGCGAAGAGGTAGTCATGATTTTAATAATAATTAATAAGCATGTTTATTAATTGTTTCTGTGCACAGCAACAATTGAATTTGAATCGGATCTTCGCCACAAGAATGAAATGAAACAAATTGAAGCAAAGATTAGAGGTGAAGCTGAAGTTGAACGACAAAATCGTGACCTGCGCTTAGAACGTGCACGTGTTGACGCCCGAGAGTATCGTCAAACGGTCTTGGAATCCATAACAACTGCTGGCTCTGTCATTGGTAATGGTATCAGCAATTTCCTGTCAGAACCTGACAAGATGGCCACTGTCATTGGTTCACTAACGTTATTAGCTGGCGGCGTATATGGGGCTAAATATGGGATCGGAACATTTACTAAAGTTGTAGAATCTCGTATAGGTAAACCGGCACTTGTGCGTGAGACTTCCCGACTAAATATAGTAGATACTTGTCGTCACCCTATCAAGGTTTGAATTTTCATATTAGTATATTCAATTTTAGACAGCCAAAACGGTCTTTCAGCGTCCTACGGATCCTCTAGAAGGTATAATTTTGCGAGTAAGTTTAAATTTTTGTCATGTTTGGGTTGAATTCGTCAGTTATGTGTCACCCATTGATGTGGTACATATTTCACTCTTTAGTGCCTCATAATAAGTTATTAGTGGTGTAGCGCTAAACTCGTTCATAAGCCATGTGATCAGTTAGATTCAGATTACTAGTACAATATGAAGCCTGTTTTGCAGTTGAGTTGCGATTATAGTTTTTGATAGCTTTGTGGTGGATAAAAGTGTTTCTATGTAGTAATGCGTGTTAGGATAAACAGATGCTAGCTTTATCTTGATAACTATCCTATTTCTTGACAATTATTTTGGGCTCTGAATAAATAATGAATTCGCGACTTGATTTGCTCATGTCGTAACTCACTTTGCTCATATCGTCTTTGCAATTATCTGACCATAAGATGTTTAGTTAATTTTGTACTTACCGAATTAAAAACCAATGTAGCGAGTAATAAGATTACTAGGTATATCTGGTCTGTGTATAAATTTTAATCTACTTCAAATGTCAGTTTTACAACTTGTTCACGTTACATTCGTGTATTATTTTGCATTGCTACTAGTTTAATATGTTTTAGCTAGTGCCAACAAACGAGTTTATTCCACGCGTTGCATAGTCAAAAATACGTAAAATTATGGAATTAAATTCTGGATCAAGTTCTGTAGATCTTAAAACATCTCCATATTCGAATAACCAATTGGCCCCTCAACTATTAAATCAACTTTCGCTTGTAGTCAGAATAAGGATTTTGTTATGATTATGCCATATAGAGCAATAGCTTCAAGGGGATTACTTTAACATATGTCGGTTTTTATCTGCTTGTAATGTCGATATTGAGTAGACCTTAATGTTGCTTTGATGTAAGAGCGTTATGTTTGTTGTGGATATGTGACTTCTCTCTTTGGCTTTTTCGATTGGACTTTTTGATTCGCTTGCTTCTTAGACAGTGTTCTTACAATTGCCTTTCTCAAAATCCTGTCTTCTGTGGATTTACATTTTTCATAGCCTGAGTTGGAAGCATCTTTGAGAAAAATTGCAATTGCAACCAGACATACCAAAGCAAATAGAGGCTTTTATCGAAATATCCTAATGGCAGGTCCTCCTGGTACTGGAAAAACTATGTTTGCAAAGGTAAGTTTTAGTTTATCGTATTCTGTTCATTCACAAAGTTGATCATAATCAAGGTAGGACCTAGAACAAAAACTTTTAGAGGCAAGTTATTGAGTTACAACAATAAATCGACTAGAGGAATTTGAAAAATGGAACCAAAGAAATCGATGTTAAGGAGCTAAATATGACTTTACCCCGAACGAACCAATGAAATCAAATAATATGAAGTATAAGCATTAAGACTATTCATGGAACAAATTCATACTTGACGTAGTCGATCAGTTAGTGAACAGTGTCTGTAGGTATGGCATGTGCTTTACACCTAAGTGTAGAGCACTTTTACAAAACTAGCAGGACCCTGTGCTTGCTCCCACTTTGAGTAGTAGTCGGGGAGTTCGCTTATCTGGGTAGCCGTGTAAGTGTGCATAGTGGTATGAGTGATGAAATCAATTCACGTATAGTGAAAGCCATAGCGGCTTATGCCGATCTGGGTCATCTTTGGCACCTTCGTGATGTTGGTCTGGCTGTAAAAGGTCGAATGTATAAACGCGTCGGTGAGGCAGTTTTGCTCTGTTCTTGCGAATACTGGCCTCCGAGTTGAGGATGTTAGATGACTCCGTGTTTGATTACTGTTGTCTCCAAAGGATTGCTGACATCCAGTGGCGACACCATGTTAGTAATGCAGAGGTTGGACAAGGTGTGATTGAGCACAGTGACGATAATTCAATTAGTGTCGCCATCTTGAAACACCGGTCTCGGTGGCTCGGGCATATCCTACAGATGTCATCTCAGTGGACTCCACACCGTCTGTTATTTGACGCACTGGAACTGGTTGGAAGAGGTGGTCAGTGCACGACATGGTGTCCTGATGTGGAAGAAAGCTGTACAAGACTGTCGATCCTTCACAACTTTCTGGTTGAGCTCCTAGAAATGACACGACACAGCAGCTTGAAACATTGGAAGTAGCTGAGGAAAGTAAATGGCTATCCAGCTGTAACTTTTTTAATGTCTATAAAAATAAACGCACCCTTAACTGAGAGGATTCTTTCTGGTTGTATTTTTCCTAGTTTATCTGCTTCTGTTCATTACTGCCCTTCTTTGTCATTATACTGTTTCTATTATCTATCTCTTCATAACCTCATATTTATTGTGTGGCGCACATATGTTTGGTGTCTCTTTGTACTAATGTTTGTTTGTTCATTTAAGCAAAGAAAATAAGGAACATTTAGTTATGAATCATATCTTTATTAATAAAACTACTAGACCGTTCATTTTACCACTTGTTTCGGGTCAATTTATAGGAAATGGAAACTGTCTTACTTTTAGTAGAAGTCCTGATGATAGTCAATACTTGTGCATCCGTAAAAGATAATATTGTAGATGTGAGTAAACGGAGAATTGTTTATTCAGCAAGCTGCATAGTTAAAAATACTAATTAAAGCGTGTTCATTTCTTTTATTTCATTATACACTGGAAACCATGTATTTGAAATAAAGCTATATACTTAAATGTCTTATCGTTGGCATTTTTTAAAAATTATCAATTTTATGAGCAAATAAAATTAGGTTAAGGAACGAAATTTGATTTAAATATTCTTATTTGGTTAATATACATCAAGTTATCTTGGATATATTTGTATCCAAACTCTCCATGTTACTCTTAGTTTTCATAATGAATGTAGTTTCATTATTTTTATTTTGTATATTTATTAAGCACCAAATTTTCAACAATTTTTGGAGATCTCCAATCCTGGCATATTATATTAGTAGGTTTTTTTTACTGAAGTTGACGCTCAACAAAATATTTCTTTGTGGACCTTCTTTTAGCCTTTAAGATTGTCAATACTTCGGTCTTATATTGTTTGGTTATTTTCTAAACACTCGTCGGTAACTGGATAGAAAAAATTCAGACAATATGTTACTTTATTCTCTCTTTCAATTGGTAGAGTTTGGCTATGCATTCGGGTATGGATTACGCGATTTTAACTGGTGGAGATATTGCACCTATGGGCAGTGAAGGAGTTACTGCAGTCCACAAAGTTTTTGAATGGGCCAAAACTAGTCGTAAAGGGTATGTAATGATGGTTTTTTTTTACAAATACACCCAACTCCATTATGGCAACAAAGAGTTAAGTGGTGAAATGCATTAATTCTAGTTACTTATCTTACTACTAAGTGGTGAAATAAAGCACTAGTTCAAATGATATATCATAATTCTGAATCTTTGTTAAAGCTTCGCTTATAAAGGATAAATAGGTAAGAACTGCACAGTGTAAGTTGTTATAATTAGTTAATTTTGCATAGTCAATAGTTTTCTGTAATTCAAATTTCCAATCAAGTGGACTGAATACATGGGTTTGATATAAATTACAAGTTTAAATTAAGGGTGTATAAACAAATAGCTTACCCCATCAAAGTCAAGTAATGGTCCTTAGTAAGATATTATGCAACTAGATATATCCTTCCACATTGTTGTTAACAAAGGCATGTTGTTAATATGTGTTCTCATAAGGTACATTGTTACCAGACCTCAATCAGTTGATTACCGTTTTTGTATGAAGGGGTTAACACAGATGAGTAAATAAGATAAAGGAAAGAGTAAATATTTGACTCGTATACATGTTCGCTTTCGTTTCCCGGTCATAATTAATGGTTGGATCCTAGGACATCAGAAACATTAGATTATTTTTTATCTTAATAATCCCAATCAAATGAAATGAGCGTGAATTTAAAGTTGGAAATAATTCTGTTGTTTAAAAAATGACGATTGCATAATATCATTTATAGAATCTGGCTGCTTATTACTTCAAGTCTTTAATATTTAATTTTGACTTCAGTACTTTTTTATTTCTTTTAGAGTTTTACTTTTTGTGGATGAGGCTGATGCATTTCTTCGTAAAAGAGACCAAGAACGAATAAGTGAAGGTGTCCGAGCAACTTTAAATGCATTTTTGTACAGAACTGGAGAACAGTCTAAGAAGTTAGTTAAAAATCTTTACAAATTTCCCACAATTTCTAGAACGCTTGGTTAAGTAAGACAGTAAAACACGACGTTTAGCGAAGGGATCTCTTTTCGACGAATTTATTATCAAGCTGTACAATTGTATATATATGAAAATGTTTGCTAATGTACTAGTTTCGTGAGGAAATATGGACAAAGAATAACCAAGATGATGTAATAGAAAGATTATAATACTAGACCACGTAATACGAATAATAACGATAGACTTAATAAGTTAGTAACGAATTATAGCGTGAATGTAGTAAGACGATCAGTGTTTTTGTTACAATAATTCAAGGTCATAGAGGTGTTAAAAATAAATAAAGTAATATCACGAGCACTTATGAATACAATAATGAGAATATGAAACATAAGTAAGGAGAAAATGCAGTAATAACAATTATCATCAAGTTGACGATAACGATAGGATGTACTTCTTTTGTACGCAGATTCCTGGCTTCAGCTCACGGATGGTAAGAGTATCGACTATTTTTAGGAGTTGGATACTAAGAAATCTTGGTAGATATGAAGGAATCGTATATACAACCTTAAAATCAAACTGTCGATCAGTAGAATGATTACAATTGATTAGATGTTCAAGTGTGGAACTCCTAACTGCTTTCCTCTCACTGTTGTAGAACCATACTGGGACATGTCCCCGTATCCAAGTTGAAAGCGAGCACTGGCTACGGCAAATGTACCTTGCTCCACAAAAGCAGGTAAACCGGTAAATGCACATGGGGGCGACCAGACGGGGAATCTTTGCCGCATACAGAAAACAAGTTCCTACCAGTGAACGTTATTTTCATTTTTGCCACATAGAATGTTCTGTTTATCTCTGTCGTCAAACAATTTTTGATTACATCAGATGTTCGATCACTTTTAAATTCCAAATTTATATAAAGATTTTTCGTTAGAACGGAACAACCGGATTCTTTGTTACTACTTCTTTTCATATTCTTATCTATGAAGCGGTTTGGATAGCCATTTTTCATCAGTTTTCCTGAGGAATGTAAGTTCTTCGTCAATGCTTTCAGTACTACATATCCAGTGTATTCGGTAATATAAAGAGTGAATAAGATTGTAACAAAAACACTTTAATCGTCTTACTACATTCACGCTATAATTCGTTACTAACTTATTAAGTCTATCGTTATTATTCGTATTACGTGGTCTAGTATTATAATCTTTCTATTACATCATCTTGGTTATTCTTTGTCCATATTTCCTCACGAAACTAGTACATTAGCAAACATTTTCATATATATACAATTGTACAGCTCGATAATAAATTCGTCGAAAAGAGATCCCTTCGCTGAACCTCGTGTTTTTAATGTCTAAATGGGAATTATCTGTCAAATAAGACAGTGTTTATATTTAACTACCAATTTCCTCTAACGTTGAGACATTCACAATAATCGACCTGAGCCTTAATATTAACGTCATGTCCAGTCCTCAGTACTAATCTCGCCCCACCGACCAATTTTGATTATTTAATAGCATCGTGCCCTGCAACTGATAGTAGATAATTAAGTTTGTCAGTTTTCCTCAGCTATATGTCATCAAGTAAGTAACGTTTTACTTGCAAACTACAGTCTCCAGACCAACAATCTTTGGAAAACAATCACGTCAGAGCATATATATATATGTTCATAAATATATATATATATATATATATATACGTCTCTCTGAAAATTAATCCACTAGTGGTTTATCTCTCATTCTTTAGTATTGCAGGCCATTCTTTGCCCGATGTTTGATTGGTTGATTTTATCAAACACAATCACTGTATCTTACTCATCAACTAACAAAGCGTCTTAAAAACGTGAATTCTTTTCGACTTTCATATTGTAGAATTCCCGTTTCTAAACTGATGTATTGCACATGATAGACAAAAGAACATCCATCATTTATTATTCGTTCAACAGAATAGCTTTATATACTTTGACATTGGAACCAAACAGGCATCATATTTAATAATACCTGTTTGGAAACGATATAATGATAATTATTTCAGTTTTCCTATCTACTCCCGTATTATTAAGCAAATATTGACTTATCTGTGCAAACGAAAAAACTGACTCAGTACTTGTTTAAATACGTACAAAAGGTTTGCACGCTTGAATTTTCATTTTTTTGTTGTGTAGAATGTAAGGAAATCTATTTAATGCGTCGGAAAACTTCGCAGCTCCTCTAAAACTGTCTAAAGCTCATAAATTAGAAATTTTTATTGTTCAATGATGTGATTTCACTTGTAGGTGTGATAATCACTCATTTTATATAAGCTTAGCTTTGTAAATGTGTAGTGAACGCGAACACAAATGTGGGACAACCAAATGTATTTGAACACAAAATTACGAAACGTTTTAGTAAAATATGAGAACTCTACAGTAAATACTTCATTTGAAAAATGTCAACCAGTCGTCTCAGGCCTCATTGTTCCTTCGTTTTCACAGCAACCATTCTCTGTTCTCTTTTCTTCGATCTTCTTAACCTTCTGCCTCCAGGCATTTCACTTTCGATTGATGATATATACTACTTATATCTGTCGACATCAGTAGCACACACCACAAATGTACACGAAAATCGAGGAATTTTTGTCTGTATACAGTGTAAATAGTTTTGTTGATGAATTTACTTCATTTTATATACAGTGAACTCGAAAAAACGTTGCACACTACGCAGAAAATGAAAAAGCCTTTTTTTAGTAGCCGTTTGAGAAACCTGAATAAGTTAGGGATAAAATAAATTCTACATTATTATATCGATGAACGCCTCTAAGTTGTAACTGAGTGCAACACCTGAACGGCTTCATTGAAATAAACAATTTAATCGAATACTAGTACTATATGAACCAACGGTTAAATTTTCCTACATTAGAACGAAAATTTAGCAGAATTTTTTAGCGGGTTACCCCAACTATTCTATCTACTTAAAAGGAACCACACGTAATGATCTAGATTAATAAAAGTTGTAGTTGGTCCGTTAACAGTCAGAAGTATATATCTTTGACTACTTATTCAATTAAAATATTGCTTATATGTGATTAGCACTTTTGGTTTACTGAACAACATTAAGACTTCACAATTTAAAAGAAGCAGTTAACTCTACAATTGTTGACATTACAGAAATGTAGGAAAGATACACACTGATTGGGTTAGGTATGGAATCTTTTTATTTTGAAAATTAGCTCGCAAGTCTTTGGACTTTAACCACTTACAGAACACTCACATATACGTAGCTTTAGAAGATTATGAATTTCATTAAAAATTGCTGGCGCTCTATAAGTGTTTGAAAACAAACAATAAAGTATATTCGTTGATACAAATCAAACTGTTCCGTGGGATAGGAAGTTCACATACTACATACTACCGTATTATGAATTGTAGTCGTTTGATTTATATGTTCACAATATTTGTTATGTTTCAGGATTATTCATAAAAGTTAAAGCGATTTAAAAAAGATGCTACGCTTCTTACAGTATCTATTCACTATAAATCCGTTGGTATAATTGGAAGTTGTGTTGGTCAGGTATGACATTCAGACCTTTGACCATTTTTACTAAAAATAAACTTTACAAAGTTTAGAGTCAATACAATAGTGTTCGTCATTCAACCTAGTTTTAGTTCATTATTCCATATAATTCTTAAACCCTAGACAATTTTTATCAATCTATTAATCGTAAATATTTCCTCTTATAGATTTATGTTAGTTTTAGCCAGTAATCAACCTGAGCAGTTTGATTGGGCAATTAATGATCGTATGGATGAAATTGTTCAGTTCACACTACCTGGTTTGGAAGAGCGTGAACGATTGGTCAGGCATTATTTCGATCGTTTTCTTCTTCAACCTTCGTTAACCAAAAGTCACCGTATTCGCCTAGCTGAAAACATAGATTATGCTGTAAAATGTGCAGAGATCGCTAAAAGAACGACTGGCCTCTCTGGACGCGAAATTTCTAAAATTGCAGTTGGATGGCAGGTACATGATTCACATTTTTACATAAGTACTATCAATTTCAGTGAGAGTGCAACATTTTAAAAGAAACAATAAAGAGATAGGTTCTAAACGTTTAAAATGATTGAAATATTTCCAGGTTGTCAATTCATAGACGTGAATGCTATTGTGGTCCTATTTTCATCCTACAAAAAATTAAGTGATATACCAGAATCCACGTAAACGATTGTTCAAATGGAAAAAGAAACATTTTAAGATATTCAGGGTTGCTTCTGAACTATTAAAAATTTCGAAACGTGCTAAAGCTTTAAAAGTAACATATGCACTATTAGATAACACATTACCAGTATTTATCTCGGCCTCCGTGATGTATGGAAACGGAACAAGTATGGTATACCGATTGCTAGAACATCAAACTAATATTAGTTTGCTACCTCAAATCACACAACTCCTGATTAAGTATACTTGTGTAAATCTTTCGCTCAGTGTAACATTAAGTAAATCCCCAAGTCATTTCGACTTACAACTTTAGTCATCTTGATATGAATTAAACAATAGGTGGTTTACGTTAATGGTAAAAGACACTTAAGCATCTTTGAAAAGTTACGAGAACCTCTATATGTTTGTGCGAGTGCTGATGAGGATATATGGGATAAGGTCAATCTAGGTTGAACTACTTTTTTGCCATTGTATTACGTACATGAAGGATCAGCACTTGTTAAAACCTAGTTCTGTAAACCAGACTTTCGATAACTTTGTGCGTTTACTGTTGTCGTTTCAGTATGTGATTGAGATCTTGAACCAATTGATGTTACACCATCACAATTGAAAACCTGGAAGCACTGGACGGCCGTTTCGTCCTATTGTGGGACTCCTCAGCAGTGCGCATCCACGATCCCGCGAGCGGGATTCGAACCCAGGGCCTTCGGTCTCGCGCGCGAACACCTAACCGTATCATCATTTTATTGAGGTTTCACACAGTGATTGGCTGGTTGAACGCGGTTTACAGGTATCGTCACAACCATTACTCAAACATTTCATAGCAAAGTATAAAGGTTGTAGTGACACGGGGTGCATATATGTATTATGACTTCTAACGTAAGTGCCGTTCCTGTCGCAATAATTTCCTCTTCTAAATATAATCAATACTTCAGAGAAGTAAAATCTTTTGGCCCTGTGCTTATGTTATCTGCTTCATTTATTACCATTATTTTCATTACTAATCTACACAATATTGTCATCACGTTTCATTCTGGTTCAGGTCAGTGCACGCCAAACACTGTTTAAAATAACTATTGGTCCTCAAAATCTTACTGATTTTTTTTCAAACTGAGGTCTAAAAATAACTAACAACACTGGTGTTTGTTGAATTTAGAAAACTTCTTACCTGATCAATCTTGAAAATTCCCCTCAACTTCATTGATTAATAAAGTCCGCTTTCATAAGTATTGGTTTAATTTAACAAATGAGCTAAAATTACCATCTATCTTTAACTCTCTCGATTGTTTAATATTTTGTATGTCTCTTCCTTATTTCTGTTTCAACCGTAACAGACAGCTGCATATTCCAGCGAAGACGGTGTTTTGACAGAAGGCATGATGGATGCTGTTGTCGACAGTGCTATTGCAGCTAATCGTCAAAAACAGGAATGGCGACACTATAGACTTCCTGACGCGGTAGACGCTGTTCCAAACTAGTACCACTTACAATAAGGAAGCTACCAGCTTTTGCATTATGCATCACATGTTATATACTAATCTATACATGATTCCCTGTGTACCTAATCAGTAGTCTTTTTGAGATAAGATCAAGTAGTTTTTTCAATCGCCAGATATAGTATAAAATTGTCAACTAATTTTCTTATTTAACAAAAAGCTTGTTATGTCTAGTTTTTCTTCACGCAACGAACCAACAATGAAGTTTTTTACAAATTCATTAAACGGTTCTGTGGGCACTTCAACGATCTTTTATCGTGTATATTGGGCTGGACATTTTGAAATAGATCACCAAAGTTTGATTGTTTATAGTCCGAACAATCCAGTTTCTAACTAGCCTTAAATATAATGGTTATTTAGACATTTAGAGAGACGCTAGCGAGCATCGGTCACTAAATTCTAAAAACACCTGCAAAAGGTTGGGGTCTATTCTATTCTGCTTCCCGTGGCCTCGCCGGCGTAGGTATAGCATTGAGTCCTAGGGCAGAACTAGCTCTCTTAGAGTGGATCCCAGTAGACAGTCGTTTGTGCGCTGTCCGACTGAACGGAACAGTAAGAATCCGGAAAGATAGGGACACTCGTCGTTGCCTTTTCGTCGTCTCTGCCTATTCTCCCACTGACTGCAGCGCAGATGATGTAAAAGGTGAGTTTTACAGAAAACTTTCCGACCTTCTCCGAAAAGCTAAGCGCTCGGATGTAGTAATAGTGGCCGGCGACTTTAATGCTCAAGTAGGTAAACTAAGACATCTGGGTGGATCTTATAGCATCATGGCTCAAAGAACAGATAATGGCGACCGTCTGTTGCAGCTATGCTCAGATAACCGCCTGTTCCTCGCAAATACTAACTTTAAGCATAAGGAAAAACATCTTTTAGCATGGCGACCCCCTAATTCGTCCCAACGTTGGACCAAAATAGACCACATCGCTATCAGCCACCGACGGAGGGGCTCGATAGAAGACTGTCGCTCATTCTGGAGCACATGCTTAGATTCAGATCATGCTTTAGTGCGAGCGCGTATTTGTCAGCATCTTACTGGACGTAGGAAAGACACTCCAAGGAAACCTCTTAGGGTCCTACTTAATGATAGTCAAGCTAAGAGTATATTTCAGGAACAACTAGGAAAACAGTTAGGCAGCCATGTATGTGATGCCCACCCTGAGGCAGCATGGAATGATATCCGAAAAGCTGTGGAAACAGCAGTGATATCTGCTAGTAAGGTAAACCAGAAGGTTAGGGAGTAACACTGGATCTCAGCAGCATCTATCTCATTGATGGATGCTCGGAAACTCATTCCACCTGGCTCTGAACATAATGAAAAGCGGAGTCAGCTTAAGCGCAAGCTGACAAGAAGCCTACGCAATGATCGCGAACAGTGGTGGGTAGTGAAAGCAAGAGAGATGAAAAAGGCAGCGGCAATAGGTAATAGCAGACAACTGTTTAGACTCGTTAAGGAAACCGGAATTAGGAACCCGACCGTTAGCGAAACAATCTCAGAGAAAGATGGACATATTATTCATTCTCAATCCAGGAGATTGGATCGATGGGCAGAACACTTTAGGGATCAGTTCAACTGGCCTTCAGCCACACTTCGGTTTCCCACGATCTCGTCAACCTGAATGGCAAGTTAATGTAAGTCCTCCGTCCCTTTACGAAGTTGAAAAAGCCATAGGAAATGTGAAGCGAGGGAGAGCAGCAGGCCCTGACAGGTTTACTCCTGAGATTTTTAAGGATGGTGGTCCAGTATTAGCAATGAGATTAACCGAGGTCTTAGGTAGAATTTGGGAACGACGTAATCCCATCTGACTGGTCTCAATCACTGATTGTGCCAGTTTTTAAGAAAGGACAAAAGTCCTCTTGTGACAATCACAGAGGAATCAGTTTGACAAATATAGTGTCTAAAATATTAGCCTCAATAATACTTCGACGCCTAACTAAAGCTCGTGAAGAGCAGACTAGAGAAAACCAGGCTGGTTTTCGACCTGGACGTGGTTGTATAGATCAGATATTCACACTAAGTCAGGTTCTAGAACACAGACACATTCAGACGCCCCACAATGGTAGTATTTCTCGACCTTAAGGCGGCATTCGACTCTATTGATCGTGAGGTTCTATGGCAGTGTTTGTCAATGAAAGGAGTACCAAAGAAGTACATTAACCTTGTACAGGCCCTCTACTCGAGCACAACTGGTCGAGTGAGAGTTATGGCGAACTGTCATCAGAATTGATTACCTCAAGTGGTGTTCGTCAGGGCTGTCCACTCTCCCCATTCTTGTTCAACTTTGTGGTCGACGTACTTTTGGGGATAACACTTTCCTCATCTAAATTTCCAGGGGTTGAACTTCTACAGGGAGGTTCACTTGTTGACTTAGAATATGCAGATGAGTTTTATTTGATGAAGACGCTGACAAAATGCAGAGTCTTCTGACCACTCTAAGCAACAATGCAAGCATGTTCGGGATGCGATTCTCTCCCTCGAAATGCAAAATGTTGCTTCAGGATTGGGTTACATCGACACCCGAACTAATGATAGGGAGTGAAGTAGTTGAGTGTGTCGACCGCTTCACTTATCTTGGAAGTCTCATCAGCCCTTGTGGTGTGGTGTGTGACGAAATCTCAGCACGGATACAGAAGGCTCGACTAGCTTTTGCCAACTTGCGTCATTTGTGGCGTAGGCGAGATATCCATCTATCAACCAAAGGACGGGTTTACTGCGCAGCAGTTCGTTCCGTCCTACTTTATGGCAGTGAAACATGGCCGGTAAGAGTAGAGGATATCCGTAGGCTACTAGTATTTGATCATTAGTGTCTTCGAAACATTGCTCGTATATCATAGGACCATCGAGTAAGTAACACAGTTGTTAGGAAACGGGTACTAGGTAAGAATGGCAAATCAATTGATGAAGTAGTGAAACTTCATCAGTTGAGATGGCTGGGACAAGTGTTACGTATGCCCAACGACCGACTGCCTCGACGTGCTATGTTCAGTGGTATAGGAGTAGGTTGGAAGAAAGGTAGGGGCGGCCAGACGAAAACATGGCACAAGTCCATGAAGTCACTGACAAGTGGACTGAGTCATGTTGGTAGGTGTAGACTACCAGGTTGGGGACCGCGAGATGATAGCAACCGATGGTTAGAGACCCTGAATAACATGGCTCAAAATCGTTTGCAATGGCGCAGGTGCATCAACTCTTTGTGTTCTCTCAAATTCTAATCTGAATTCTTCATGTCCATTTTTTCCTCTTTCCAAAATTATTTCACTGCATTATACTCTTTAAATAACATCTCCAAACCCTAATCTTCCCGATTACTGTTTATATTCTTATTACCTCTACCACCATGGGATTTGAATCGACAAGTGCATCTCTGTGCTAATGTGGTGTGGCAACTCGAACTGATGTACGTACGTACGAAGCTCTACGTTGTTACTGACTGACTGAGTAGTGGTTTGATATTCAGTCAGTGTAGACTTGTAGTTTAATTCTTTTCAAGCGAAAAGTGTATAGTATTCTTCGTCTAATGATTCAAGAACACTAGAAACGAAAGCGATCGGTCACCCGCAATCTACATGTATCTTCATCTCTTCACGGAAGTCCCACAGTTTTACGGTTCTTATGGAAGACAAATGCACCTGCGCAGTTTTCAAGCTAATTAATTCCAACAAAGAAGTTCTCCTTAAGGTTAGACAGTTACCGAACCACCTTTGAAACCTAAGCCAGTCCCACAGCCATTAAAATCACGATTGTTTATAAAGCAATGTGGTGAGTTATGCAGTCATCGGGTGATAGGTTTCTTATAGATTATTAATAGTACATATTTCGGGAAGTGACATATCAATTGTTATTATGCATGAAAGAGCTTTATCAATTTTGAGTGTGGGAGATTATATTGCAATGACAAACTATAGTATGGATATGAACCAAGATTAGGCCTGCCCCACAGATGGCAGAAATGACCAAAGAGTCCTCGTAAGTTAGAGAATGACGGCATACAAAATAAACTGTGAATACAACAGTCAGTACATCACGAACAGACTGTCGACAGTTTTACCGCTTTTATGCGGAGTTAGCATAAGCGTGAACCCTGTATTTTTAAATGAGTAAATGAAAGAAATATCCTTAGCCTATTTTATTTTTAATAAGATTCTTGAGCTTTCTTTACCATTAGGGAACAGTCTCGAAAATTCTATCATTTATTAGGTGCATAACTGAAGTCATTTGATATGACATCATCCTACATGGTACGGTTACTGTCAAACCTTGGATGTTTTTTGCTGATAGTCCGTTACTTTCCCTTTTTAGAAGAATGGTTTGGGAGTGTTGCTTAAGTGGATAACTAGCTTGAGAAATGCACGATCAAAAGACGTTGTGTAATTCTGCTTGACAAATAACAATTTGCTAGATTCCTTAACAAAAATAGAAGGGAAAATATCACAAAATATTATATTAGGCTGTTAACCGCTTACAATGTAAAAGCAGATGTTATCATTATTACATAGCAGACATCCCGTTTTTGAAGTCATTTTGGTAAAGCTCTTAAAACATACGTCCACCATATCCGTAAGTTTGTTTCAGTGCAGCAAGGAAAATAGTGAGCCATCCATCACGGGTATTTTCCAAGTCATAGGCAGGAACATTTTTCTGTGCTAAAAAAAGGCGCGTTCCGCCTTCAAAAGCATTCATTTCCAAAGTCAGTGAGCTGTAGTGGTTCTCAGGCCAATCGCGTTTACGCCACCTCATTTGAATACTTTTACCAGGATCCTGAACATTTCGTAGACAACAAAATGATTCACATTAATTCAAACTTTAAGCATTAAAGTTGAACTATTAAATCGCTGAAACAAACAATATCTAGTAGTAAACAGACTAACTGTGAGTAATCAGAACAGAAAGTATCCCAGACGGCTAATATGCATAAACAAGTTTGGGACACGTAAAAATGATACCATAGGTTTCACAGGAATGATAACCGTAACACCAACGAAACAAGAAATATTGCCAAGCAGAAACATGAGGACTATTGGTGCTTAACTTTACTGTGGAGACGCACTATGCACATACTTGATAACAAAAACGTCCCGTTCATCAGTACGATTTATATAGGTTTTGAGGAAAATGTCACGACTGCGCTGTCGCTTTTTGCTTTATATGCTTTGTTTTTGAAACCAACTAATTCTGCAATCAACAGGGGACAAGGGTTTCTTGCCTACTTTTTCAAACTAATTTATCTGAACAAAAACAGTGCAAAGGATCATTAAAACGTAAAACTTCGTACATACGTACAACAGTTCAAGTTGCCGCATTAAAATGTATGTGTCACACAATAAAATGAGGTCGTGAAAAGATAAAGAATGGAAGGTGAGTATACTACGGAAGAAAATGGCATTGAGATAAGTTCGTGTATAAGAGTGAAAAATTTAAAATGAGTAGCAGTTCAGTCAAGAAATATACATTGTATAAAGATTCTTTCAACTAAAAATCCATTTATATGAAGAACACTACAACAGGACCCTCACTGGCTTCTACTCTGAGCCATGTCTGACACCTCAAGGGTGTGAGGAACCGACAGTCTTGTACAGCTTTCTTCCACATCAGGACACCATGTCGTGCACTGACCACCTCTTCCAACCAGTTCCAGTGCGTCAAATAACAGACGGTGTGGAGTCCACTGAGATGACATCTGTAGGATATGCCCGAGCCACCGAGACCGGTGTTTCAAGATGGCGACACTAATTGAATTATCGTCACTGTGCTCAATCACACCTTGTCCAACCTCTGCATTACTAACATGGTGTCGCCACTGGATGTCAGCAATCCTTTGGAGACAACAGTAATCAAACACGGAGTCATCTAACATCCTCAACTCGGAGGCCAGTATTCGCAAGAACAGAGCAAAACTGCCTCACCGACGCGTTTATACATTCGACCTTTTACAGCCAGACCAACATCACGAAGGCGCCAAAGATGACCCAGATCGGCATAAGCCGCTATGGCTTTCACTATACGTGAGTTGATTTCATCACTCATACCACTGTGCACACTTACACGGCTACCCAGATAAGCGAACTCCCCGACTACTACTCAAAGTGAGAGCAAGCACAGGGTCCTGCTAGTCTTGTAAAAGTGCTCTACACTTAGGTGTAAAGCACATGACATACCTACGGACACTTTACCAACTGATTAAGTCTGCATGATTTGGGTGATTGTTCTTTGTGAGAACAAACATTTAAACCGCTCATCAAACCGTTAAGTTCACGTTAGAAGACAATGTGACTGAACAATTGAAATCTACTAGTTCCCGTAAAATCCTTGAAACCAGTTTTGCTACGAAGGTGATGTCATGTGATTTTGAAAGAAGTGAAGGCAATTAGTTGAAAATAATATTCGCTGGAGCTCTACAACATATTCACAATACCTTCACACATAGTAGTTAATCAAAATGGGATTAGTACTGGATCGTGAGAATGAATGAAACATTAGAACAATAATTACAAAGAGATTAATTAAAAATCCGTCTAGTGGAAAAAATAAATCAAGGATGAGAAGTACGAATGGATTTCTCATCCGGTAAATACAGAACAACAAAGAGAATCAAGGCGATAGATAAAATTTAATGACCAGATCAAAACAAACGGAAAGGTTGGAGCAAAGCAGAATTTAAAAAGTCGCCTTTGAGGAGTTTGAGCTCAATTTAGTGCACTTTTTATGTCTATGTCATACCTGATCCCGCATTCGTAGAATCACGTTATTTGGTTTCGCGGACAATTTCGAGAGGTAATGTGGAGTTACATAGCCACAGTTGGCTAATGATTTAGTACCATTAAGAACTAAAGAGTGTAATAAACTGAAAAAGCACTAGGAAACAGTAGGTTATGTGAAGTTGATAAAAAATTTACAATCGCATATAAATTGGTCACAACAACGAGATGGACAATTAATTATTAAACTTTCTAATTACGACCACTGTTAAGTCCCATAATTTTATCATAACCGTATCGGTCATTATCAAACCTCTTCCTGGTCCCTGTTATATTTTACCAAATATTGAATGCGATTTATACCGCTCAATGAGTATAATTTTAGTCAGCCACCAGATTTCTAAAATAATTTTAAATAAAATTGTACAGCTTCAGTGAATTGTACTGTTGAAAAGAAAACTAACTATAGTTGTTTCATATCAAATGAACTTATTCTTTTGTTTAGATATACCCTAACGAATGTATGAAAAATTGGTGACTACATATAGACAAGTTTACTTTTGAATTATACTAGTGCTTTTCGAAAAATTACGTGGACAAAAATCAGTGGGACTTACTAGCAAGTCGAAGATTCCTGTAATGTTTCCGCTGAAGACGGAATATGCTCCACCGACAACTGGGTCCACAGTGGCCTCAGATCGTGTAAAAGCTTTAACTAACTAAAATTAGAAAGAGCGCATTCGTACTTAAACTATATGATATTTATTTAGTAATTTATTAAAGGTAACCCAATACAAACTGAAAGTAACTAGCGAAAAGTGTGTGATATGGTATTCCAACACGAGTATCCTTTCATAAACAATTCACATTGTAATGTGATCATAAATTGGTCAGTGAGTCAAACGCAACGTAGAACATGGCACATACTACCATAGCTCCAAAGTCTGGCATCAAATTCTGTTATTTTCGCAAGCCGGGTACAACTATTTCAACATTACGATCAAGTCATGGATATCGCTTCTCTAAAATATTTCGCAAATACTACCATAACACTTCTGGAGGAGTATTATATATGACTTAATATCACACAAAATTCACGGAATATTATGGAGCATAATTTAGATCAACATACTCGTGGCCTCTTACTAGAGCTAGACGCAAATTACCTCGTTTATTGAATATACATCTTGAGGGAGATTTATTATAAGATTGGCTTTTTATTCTACGTTCTTGAAATAAAATGAAACACTATACAACGGGTTTTGTGTGAGCAATTATACTACTATGGTTTGAAAAGATGTTGAAACAGCCAATTTCGGTGTTCTTCAATCCAATGATGCGCATTTAATCCCAAGAATTTGAATATAAATGAGAGCCTTGGTGCCTGGATTAACTGGTTACAAATAACGAGTCGCACCAACGTATTTAAATGGTTAGCAGGAGTAAGTTTGAGAATTTGTGTTTAACTACTTTCCCGAAGCACATGAAAGAAAAATTAAGCTACTGCCAGAACTATTGAATTACTTACTTATACATTGCAAATTTTCAAATGCGTGGAAATATGGGTGTTTCCAGAATGGTAAGTATGAAAACTACTTTACAAATTCAGATCATATGGTTAAATTAAGATATTCATTATCAGTGAATTCAAAACTTGTTCTGTTCCCCTTGTCCGATATTCCTTGACAAAAAGAGCATTGGGGTAGCAACAGGGTAAATCCCAAGAAACAGCTGTATAAAGAATAATTTTCACAGAAGCTTCTAGTGTCTCTCCGGTCCAGCTACGAGTGATAATGATTAAGATTGGATCAATCAGAGAATTCAAATTTGAGCTTAAACTAAGCACGCAGCGCAGAATGTCCTGTTAACAATACTATTTGCTTTAAAAACAAATTTGCCATCTTAAAATTTAAAGAAAGCTGAGACATTTTCCCCATATATCTAATAGGGGCGACCCTACAACCTATGTGATTCTTACTGTAACTACATAAGGAGCTAGGTACCTCTTTAGTGGTGAGAACTCTGTAAAGGTCATCCGGAGTGCAGAAAAATTCATCTGTGATTGAAAGATCTCTGTTTGACAGGTCTTTAGGTTCTTTGATCCCATCGGCAGTATGGAAAGCTTTGTTGGTTGTTCTGTCTAGAGCCGCGCCAGACCGTGTTGTACTAGCAGGATTCACGTTAGCACCATTCTTTGATGGAAGGATTAGACCCTGAGCATAATCTGTTACAATAAACTCGAAAAAAGTATTCACATACTAACCTTCTTTAAGTAATGTGATGTATTTCTCTAATTTGGACTTGATAAAGTCAACACCAGTTGACTTCATAAAACTCCCGACTAGATCACCATCAGTACTAGAAGTCCAGCTTGTATTGGTTTCACATTTATTTACACCGTATTCATCGATCAGACTTATAACTTCCACTTTCCCTACAATTTTTACCTTGTCTTCCGAACTTTTTACTATTCCTGTTGAAATAAAATGACAAAAAATATGACGTCATTGAAATGGAGGAAGTACACTAGATTTAACAATACAAATCAAAAAAATGGTGTCTTATAGGCTTTGGTTTCTAAAGTCAGTGTAAAAATGCGAAATTATTAGGATTTGAAATCCGACTAAACTATTCCAATAACGGGGATAGAACTGTATCTAAATTGTCATGTAGTACAACTCCAAGCCGTTATGAGCGAGACCTACGTTTCTAATCCTACATCTTTAACAAGAATTAGGTGTAACAAAATGGACAATACTGATGGAAATCAAGCAAAGATACAACATCCTTCAATGTAGACACAAAATGATAGCTGGGTTTAGTTGTTATTACTGACAGCAGTCAGATAGGTACAGAATGCCATTAAAATTTACAGACGATCTTTGAGCAACACTTAGGTAACCCCGAGATAACTCACCCACTTACCAGGACTAAATGAGGGTTATAAATTTGTATGCAGGACTAAGAATGGAATTTTAAGTTAGAATTTAGGGTTAGGAATTACGGTAATGGATTGATATTAGCTATAACGCTGAAATGCTATTGAACTATGTGAATGAATGAAAATCGAACGGAAGCCCAAGAATTGCTAACCCTAATTTTACTGGTCTGTTCACAAATCATAGTCTCGCCAAATTCGTCACTAAAGACCGAACACAAAAACACGATTACAGAAGCTAACGGACAGGAAAAGTTAAGACGATAGATGAAGGGACCACGATGTAGTTGTCGAACCTGCCCAGAAACACAAAACATGACTTAACTGTAATCGAAAGCACACAACTAATTATTTCTCAGTCAGTCAGCTACAAAGCAGGACCAGGTACATATGTGCATCAGTCTAAGTTGCCATACTTCACTAGCACAAGATGAACACTGGATCCATAAAAGTAGTTAGTTTAGTGGTGGCAATATATAAAAGAAAGATTGCATATAAGGACATAGTACAGGAAGAAAGAAAGATATAAAGCAATTTTAATCTAAAAGTTTAAGGGAAGACAATGAGTGTATACACCGACGCCATTGTCATCGATTCTGAGCCATGTCACCCAGTCTCTAACCATTGGTTACGATATTCACGCGGACCCCAACCAAGTAGTCTGCATCTACCAACATGTCTCAGACTAGAAGTTAATGTCCTCAAGCACTGATGCCACGTTTTGGCTTGGCCGCCCCTAACTTTCTTCCAACCATCTCCAACATTAGTCAGCATTGCGCGTCGTGGTAATCGGTGTCCAGGCATGCATGACACGTGTACCAACCATTTCAATCGATGAAGATTCATAACCTCATCAACTGATTTACCATCATTCCCTAATACCCTGCGTCTAATCTGACTATTACTTACCCAGTGATCCCAACAGACGCAAGTAATATTTCTAAGGCATCTGTAATCAAATACCTGTAGCTTACGAATATCTTCTGCTCTTAGTGGCCATGTTTTGCAGCCGTAAAGTAAAACAGAACGAACTGCCGCGCAGTATACTTGTCCCTTAATTGTGAGACGGATATCTCGCCTTCGTCATAGGTGACGTAAGATGGTGAAGGCCAAACGGACTTTCCAAATCCGTTCAGAAATTTCGTCAGACACCAACCCATTAGGGCTAACCAGGCCTCCAAGATAAGTGAACTTGTCAACGCGTCCGACTACTTCACTCCCTATCCTTAGTCCAGTTGTTGACGCAGACCAGTCCTGAAGCAACAACTTGCATTTAGAGGGGAGAAACGCACATCAAACATCCAGGCATTGTTGCTCAGTGTTGCCAGAAGACTGCATTTTATCAGTGTCTTCACCAAACAGGACTATATCATCTGCGTATTCTAGGTCGATAAGTGTGCCTCCTGGAACGAGATCAATACCCGAGAATTCAGTTGACAAGAATGTTATTTCCATCAGTAGGTCTATGGTGAAGCCTTGACGGACACCACTTGAGGTTGCAAAATCAGATGACAGTTCGCCATAAGCTCTCACTCGACTAGTAGTTTTCGAGTAAAGAGCCCTCACAAGGTTTATGTACTTCTAAGGTACACCTTTCAATGACAGACACTGCCACAGAATCTCGCGGTCTACCGAGTCAAATGCTGCTTTCAAGTCAAGAAAAACTATCATTGTCGGACGCCGATAAGCATTTCTATGTCCTAGAAACAGACGAATGGTGAATATGTGGTCGATGCAGCCACGACCAGGTCTGAAGCCAGCCTGATGTTATCGTGTTTGCAGTTCACGAGTCCGATAATTATTGAGGCTAGTATTTTAGATGCTATGTTAGTCAAACTAATCTTTCTATGGTTATCACAAGATGATCTTAACCCGCTCTTATATATTGGGACAATTAGTGATTGTGACCAGGCAGATGAGACTACGTCCAACTCCCAGATTTTAGCTAAAATGTTAGTCAACCTAATCGCTAAAACTGGGCCACCATTCTCAAAGACCTCTGGAGCCAATCTATCTGAACTAGCTGCTCTTCCTAGTTTCAGATTAGTTAGAGCATTTTGAACTTCAGCTAGAGTTAGAGGACCTAATTCAATGTTCCATTCACACTGTCTGGGAATGGTGGGTAATTGTCAAGTAGCTGCAGGCCAGCTGAACTCTTTAAAATGTTCCGCACATCGTTCTAAACGTCGGGACTGGGAGCAGATTAGAGTGTCGTCCCTTCCCGAAATAGTCTGACTTACACTTGACTTATTAATTCGTTTCTTTTATTAGTCTGTAAAGCTGTCTTGTGTTACCTACAACCGCCACCTTTTCCATCTCTTTTGCTTTCGTTGCTCACCACTGATCACGGTCGTTTCTTAGACTTTTGCTTAACCTATAACTGATGTTTTTTCGCTCTTTATCGTGTTTAGAATCCGATGGGGTGAGTTTACGAGAATCCATCAGTGCAATAGACTTGGAAGAAATCCATTGGTTTTTCGTAACTGGTTTAAATTACTAACAGATGTCACTGCTGTTTCCACAGTTGTTTGTATATCTTTCCAAGCAACATCCGGGTCAGCATCGTTTTTAGGACTACCTAAGTGTGACATCAGTTGTTCCTGAAACATATTTTTGGTTTTCTCATTACTCAATTCAATTCCTATGGGTCTTCTTAGTGTGGCTTTTCTGCGTCTAACTAATTGTTCCTAACACTGTAAGAAATAACGGTAATTATTAAAGTGAACCACAGATAAAACACTGAGAGAAAAGGTTAGATATGAAAGCCTTCTGCTGATTTTAACTGTTAAGCACTCCAGCTGTTATAAAAATGAAGTGTCGCATGTTTACAAGTACTAAAGATCATAGAAGCGGAATCTCAAAATAATGAACTATTGTATGTTCAAGACTATGATTTATCACATCTATCAAGTTAGGCGCTCTAAACCGTAAACCACAGCTCTAAACCAAAAGTATTCAACAGTACAAAGGAGTCAACAAAGGATTAAAAGTGAACAAGTGACAGGAACAGGTAGGGAAATGCGTGAAGTTGAGTGGTGTAGTATATTTGAGGGTAGTAGAAAGTAAGCGAATCACTGACACTGTGTTCGATTAAGTCAATCCAATTTTAACCCAAGTATTTTTCATGTTGACCCTAACCAAAAAAAGGGGATTCTTTGCACACTCAGTGAACCACAATTCGGAATTACTCGTTAAAACAACCCTCCATTTAATTGACGTGACTGTGTTGTAAAAGGTTGGTTTGATTTGTGACGTGACCATATCCATATAGAGCTAAGATTTTACTCACATATAAATCACAAATACTCTGGATATAGTGAAGGACGAGTTTCTTGACCATCAAATTATAATTCAAGGATATCTAAATTCCCCCCTAAAATAGAGACCATACGGCTGGAGATGGAATCTGATTCAAGGAAAATGATAGCTAAACTGAGTTTCCCTGCCAATCTATGTAGCTGTATCTCATACATGATGTTGAGATCTTTCAAACATTTTACTAATTGTAGTACATACTAAAACCTTTAATCATAAGACAAACTGGGGACTCGGCTTTACCAACAATGGATTACGTAGCTTAACCATGAGAATGAGCAAACAGACTTCGAAAGACTTCGACACATACCGTAGGCATCTTTTGGCTGTGAGGGTCTATATCGCATTACTATGGGGTTGTCTACGTGCACGCTCACATACATTTCAAATGTCCTGACTTTTAAGGTGCCGATGACTGCTTGATTCGAGCTATAAGCTATCGACACTGAATCACGAGTTTGACTTTAAATATAAAGTTCAAATGTAGGGAAACCAGCTACAATATACAAAATAGTATAGAACTTACCCTCCCAGTCAATCACAATCTCCCACTCGTAAAAGCACATTAACTTTCCTTTTCGAACATAAACGTTAGCCTCCCCATCAAGTTTAGAAATATCAGTGATTTTACAAGAATCTTTAGAGTATCAAAAGCAATAAGTTGATGGACACTACTTACATAAGTCATTTTCAATCTTAGAACCTTTCAATAGCTCTTTTATCTTATTTATAGACCAGCCGGTTGCGTCTTTATCTGACCAGTGCCAATTATTAACATTTTTTGCATCTGCTCTTTCCTCTACAATCCACCTAGGATCACCTTCTCCCAACTTCGCCATGTTGACAAGCGCTAGTACCCTGCTGCAATGGAATGATCGCGAAACAACAATGCGTCCGCCCAAGGTCGCGAGAACCTACCTTTCACTGTCCAATACGCAAGAAGTCAAGGTGACTAAAAAACCATCGAAGGATTTCGTTTGTCTTTTGAGGAAGATGATAAGATAACTGGACAAAGAAATTACCAATAAAGATAATGAAATAACTTCTTCCGAGACCGCTATGATTTCGCAATCGTATCAAAATTTACAAACTGCCCTTAAAACCTTTTTCATGCTTGTGTTTGTTCAGGTAACTTGTTTGTTTCCACGGGCTTCAATTTTATCAAGAAGATTTTGAACGCTTGAATTAAATCAGCGATAGCCTCTCTAATCTTCTAATGGCGCGTTCACCAACGACGAAACAATTGTGGTCTAGGGTTGGACAAGTTACTGATCTATATTGGCAATGTAATTCCCTAAAATAAACAGTTTCGCAAACATTTGACATATGCACTAACAGTCTTATACAACAGTCAGACCTTAGTAGGTTTGCGTCTGGCCTGAAGGTACCTCTTATGCTGAGGTAGTATGAGAAGCAGTATGTGAGATGATTTGGAAGAGAAAATAACGAGAGGGAAAGTAAGACGACGACACGGCAAACACACAGAATGTAATTACTTTTGATCGCGAAAGGAACAGGTAACAATCACGAGTGACACAAGCATGACACTAAGACAATCTAAGAATTGAGACTACAAATCGGGACTCGTGTTCTAAAAATTTGCTGATTTCTTACTTTTAATAGTCGAATTTTGAACCGCGACCACACATACTCCTTAATATAACCCGAAGGTGGAACAAAGAACGAAAACTTTTGTTAACCAGAGCGTAAAGTTAAGGCAACACCGACATTCGACTAACACCTGACGTGTCTGTAAAAGTCAGGAAGAGCTGAAACCTAAAAGGGTCAAAGAAGAGAAAAAATTCACACTTGATTGGTTTTCGAGAAGTTAGGTCTTGAAAGTTAATGTTACCAAGGTCTGTATGGACAAGCCGTTCTCCTTCGGAGTTATATATGTGAAAGCTTGTAATCCAAGAGATAAATTCTATAAAGTAAAAGTATCAGTGGACAAATTAAGGTCATTCATCGTAGCCGAAACGTAGTTGCTCCATGTCTCTGACGTCACTCCAGAATTATCGAGATATAACTATCTAAGTGATACGAATAGATGTAATAAAGGTGGTCCTTATGTACATAGCTAGTAATGTAAACATCAGTTCCTTGGTTCGTGAATCTCATGATGATGATATTTGTGAAATTACTAGATGTGGATTTACTTTTGAAGGTCGTACGTTTATATTCGGTGTCATCTATCCTAGTCCAGTCTGTCTAACTGATGACTTCATTTTGTTGCGCGTTCATGCGACCGAGGATGCTATCTATTTAAATCATACTTCACTGTGGCCAAATAATGTCATAATATACGATAGGGTTAAACCTTACACGAATCTATGGGGAGCTAAAAATTTTTCAATCCAGGGGCGCGAACGAACTGATCATCAAACACTTACACATCTACTGAATAATTGTGGTCCATACTTCAAGGTGCTCTTAACTTACTTGCATTCCGGTTATATCATGCTTTGTAGCACATAGACCAAGTAATTGTCTACCTTGGCTAACTAAAAAAATTGATAAAGTTTTGTAACGTCAGAAAAAGCATGGGAGTTTGTATATTTCAACAGTCTCTGGACAACACAGATATGTCTGTTATAAGGCGAATGCTTGCAAAGTGTCAGTGAGCAAAGCCAGGCGTTCATATAAAAAACAAGTGATTCGGAATTATGGAAACAGTCTGAAAAAGTCATTTCTGTGTATAAAGAAGCAAACCCAAAGAAGTGATGAAACCTCACCACTTACGATTTATATTGGCAAGGAGTGGCTCTGCAAAAGCCGAAGCCTTATCAGTATATTTTAGCAAAGTATGTTCTATCGAAGATGTTGAAAGACTTATAAGTAATCGTGATATTGACGGCCTGTCTATCGATCCTGTGGTTATTGGGGACAAAACTGTCTGACTATTGCTTAAACATCTTAAACTGAATTTTGATTTGACTGGGTTGGTATCCTTCGATTATAAATGTGTTACAAACAAAAGCGTTGTCAAATCCTATTTGTCTATGGCAACTTTATATGTTTGGTTGTAGCTGAATATAGATGCATGTGAGACTACTGATTTCGCTCTCTGGGAGATGTAAGAAAATCCGATATACGAACTGACGAGAAAATTTCATGACTCACCTGGTCAAGCAGGTTAAAACTAATCGAGCGAATATCATTAGTGAATGCTAGCTATATGGCTTGCTCGCTCCTACATTTCAGTATAGTGAAGTCTGATAGTGTGATCAGTAAACAGTCGTCAAATTTGATTCTTAGAGGATTTGTAATTAAATTCCAGAAGGAAAGTGAAACGTTTAGTGTTGTTGTCTGAGGTAGTCTGCATGTGTGTTGAAAATCTCTAGTTCAGAACGATATGGTTGTGAAAATCTAGCTGATGAACATCTTTGAACTTTCAATCAGATTATAAAACGTGATTCAAATAAGATAGTGCACATTAACATGGTGGTTATAAATTTGGTGAACACTTGTGACCTAGATAGATGTAAAAGCATGTCATCTGACTCTACTATTTGCCCAATCGTTTCGAAAATTTACATTCTTTATCGACATTTTTAATGACCCTGAAAGTTTGGTTATATCTGATCGTGCTCTTATGGCAGCCACAAATCACTTGCGAAATAATATTATGTCACAAGGATTGATTTCGACTATCTTTCAGAGTGAAGAAATATGATTTGGAAAACATGAACGTCTTTGTGGTGTAATTTCAGATTTCAGCTGTCTGAAATGTTGTTGGTTTGTGAGTATCTCACAGACTTTCTTTACATTGTTGGATAAAAACGTGTTGATTCGAACTGAGTCCTAATTGCGTTGGTTTTAGGTGGATTGTAGTGTTCGAATTTCACGGATTATGATGAGGGGTGGATTTGGGTCTAACTGCAGCCATGATCAGTCACTTTGAGTGCAGAATTGACAATTTTGACAGTTCTGCAGTCTGTTTCAAGCAAAATTACTTTTGACAATTCAATTTACACTAATATGGCTTTGTCTTTTACTCTGAACGATACTAGAATTGATAATGAGAGCAAGGCAGAAGACTGAATAACTTTGGTACTGATGCCATCACTTTTTGAAGTTCGCTTACACTTTACTCCCTGATCGAACACCGAACTCTTGTATAAGAGCTTATTTTCGTTTATCAGGACACTGTACCTGTGGCTTTAAGACTCTTGGTCTCGGTTCAAGTCCTCAAAATTCCACTCTTTTGACGTAATTCAGAAAGGTTGCTACAAATCAGTGATGACGACATATTTAATGGTCAGCGAAGAGGGTCAACATCATACTTATGTTCGTGACAAATTCAGATGTTAGAAATTGATAAAATGCTGGCATGCGTATCAGTTGTATTTTGTGGACATAAGTGATTACGAGGCTGTGGATGCTGATATGTTACTGCTTTAAAACAAATCCATACCGGACACAAATCTTGATTTTCCAGTGATTCGAAACCTAAATTAAAATCAACTTAGTTACATATGTAAGTACCTGTGCTAATTAATATGTGAAAAACCTATCAACGTGACGTACGCGTCTCCTCAAGGTCATGGTTTACAGCAAGCACTCTATGAGTCTACTTTATAACAACTATAAACTTAGTAAGTTGGGAAGCATACTGTGCGCCAACAAATGCTGTAATTTATAGATCATACCCGTAAGAATGGCGTGTACCTGTTCATGCAGAAATATATTATTATTATGTTTTCGCTTTCAGTTACTCCCTTGTTTTTCCTTAGTATGCAACGTTTATTCTATTGCTACCCGAACTCAGTATATTTGTATCTCTTTTGATTTGTTTGGAACTATTATTATGGTGTCTACAATTTCTGAATCGCGATAAACTCTTTGACGTCGTTAAGATTGCTACTTGCCATTTAACTTGATTTTGTGCAACATCTTGATTTCTGGAAAACGTTTTATGGGCAGTCGTATGTTTGGTTGATTCTGTTTGATCTAACTATCCGAATCTATCCCTAGTGAATTAGAGGCTAGGTATTGTTTTGCACAGATAACTTCTCAATTTGGACTTATTTATTTGGTGCTTATTTCCAATCGTTCTTGAGTAGTAACTAGGAATCAGCACTGAAGAACAGCACATTAGCAAAATATGAAATGGATTCCTACATTAAATAAAAATGAAGTGCCATCATCGACAAATGCAACGCACTGATTATCTCGAACTGCTCATATTATTCATCCATCAAGCCATTTCACATATATTTGTGAAATCCGTTTTGTAGTGGCTTATTAAAGAATATCTAAACTAGATCATTCTTTTTTACTGAATTTCATTTCACCTTCAACGAGCCTAATCACAAATTTTTATCCGATAGGTGTTGAGAATGAACCCATAGTTTTGTGTCACTTCACGACCAGTTATGGGATAATTATATGATGTATGGCGAATGGAACTAAACCCTCACAACTTGACACTTATCAGTCTAATGCGCAATTATGTCGATTACGAGACCTTAATTGCTTGATATTTTACGAAAAATAGTGGAGGTCAAGACGCAGGTACGGGAAGAATATCGAGATAGCGCGCTCCGCCATGCAAACCTGGTCACTGTAGCAATGTTATACAGATTTAATAAAAATGATCTATTACTTTCGTATTCCAAATATTTAACAAGTCTCCATACGTGACAAGGAATGTCAAGAGATCTAAAATATTGACACCAATTAATATTACCTAATATTAAATTTTAATTAATTGGTGATCAAACATTTTCCGTGGTTGATTTGGGGGATGGCATTGGTGACACAAATCAAGAGCATATATATTGTGTTTATTTTCTGTCCTACCAAACGTATGGTGAGATCTCCCAAGTTGTGGGTTATCTTTGTGTTACTGTGAGCCCAGTCAGTTAATTATTGTCAACAGTTTGATTTAGAACAACATATATAAGCGAACAATATTGTTTTCGAT